CTGTTCTTTCTTGCCACGTGTACAGTGGGTCAGGCTCTGGGCTGGGTGCTGTGTCTCCTCCAGGCCCCCCACGGAGGCTGAGCTAAGGAGCTGGAGGATGTGTGCCTTCTAGCTGGTGTCACCTGTGCAGTCCCCAGCTTCTCAACAACTGAAATTCTCTGCTGACTGACAGGCTGGCTACACCCGCCTGAATCCTAGAGCTGAGCAAACAGCCCGGCCAAATGGGCACTATGAGCAATATCCTAAAATTCATAACAATAACAGGTGATGCTTACATAGCGCTTACTATGTGCCAGCCAGCGCTCTGGAGTCATGACATATGTGATCGCATTTAATCCTCACCACAAACTCATGAGGTAGGTCCTTATTCTAATTTTAGAGAAACAAGATGAGGACTCTTCCCCCACCCCAGAGGCAGACCTCCTGCGCTTCAAAATGGACTCATAATAAAACTGAGATCTCCTTCTGTTGGAGAGGGGAGAAAACATCAAGGACTTTGGAAGGGGATGATTCAGGTAGAGTCCTAGAAATTTATAAATCTAACTCTAACACCGTGTATCCATTTTTATTAACTTGGGGATACTTCCTGTCCCTCTAAACCATCATAACCAGAAAGTCCCACGATGTTATTTTATTGAAAAACTNCAGCCATTTTGAAAGACCTGAGCAAATTAGGGAGGGTGTCCCTGTCTCTGAGCCTTCCTTCCTTCTGTCCCCCTTCAAAGGATTCCTTCTGTCCTCTCTCTCTGCTCTTTATTCCTGCTCTTCTTTCCAAGCCCCTAAAGAAGCCTCCTCGGCTATAGCTCATGGCTCTTCCTGCTCTCAACTCTCACAAAACTTGTTTCTTTGGGGACAATTCACAAGGGCTCACCGTGAGTCCCCTTACACTTCTGCTTCCTGTGTTTCAAACTTTCCGAGCTCCANTTCCTGTCCCTCTAAACCATCATAACCAGAAAGTCCCACGATGTTATTTTATTGAAAAACTCACAGGTATGATCTTTCAAAGCTGTGGACTCTCAGTTCAATGTTCTTTCAGATAACATGTGAATTATAATAAAAAAAAAAGTTCTGTTCTCAATAATTGAATAATTAAATACTATAAAATTAAATGTTATACTGCCCTTTCATTCTCTGAAAGTTAACAATCCTTGAGAGTACAATCGTGCGGTAGGCAGCTTTGACTACCCAGCTCACAGTAGGTACACAGTACAAGCATGTTGAACTGCACCGACAGTATGTGACATCAGCACAGTGTGGCTATAAAGAAATGCAACTGTGTTTAACAAACATATCTTCTCCCCAGTCAAATGAGTGTTATCCCCCTGCTTGTCCCCTTAGGAGACTGGGCACTTATTCCAGCACGCTGCCACCACCAGGTGCTCTGGGTCTCTCTCTCTCTGTCTTTGGGGGGTCTTTTCAGAGCCAATTAAATCAGCCCCTCCTACCCCGCCGCATATTCCTCTTGCCATTTTGTACCTCCAATGGCATTGCAAAGCTGAGCTGTGAATGGAGCTTTTTATTCCAAAGACCAAGGTGTCCATTCTAACACAAAGTCTGGGCACCACCGATGAAGGCCATCCTGCAGGCTCTAGGAAGATGGACCTAGCAGTTGTGGCAATGGCCAGATACTTAGAGTAAGAAGGTGGCTTCCCTCGGTGACTGCCTCAAAGGGGCAAACTCTCGTGTGGTTGAGTAGTTTCTGATGTGTCGGTCAGGAGGTATAAAGTCAGATTGCTTTACAGTCACACATTATATGTAGGAC